TTGTTTTGTCACGCATGTATATATACATTTTGAGCATGAAAGTTGTTTATTTGATGAGTGCTTATAAAGATTGTGTCGATTTAGATGTTGCTGTGTGATGCATGTATATATACATTTTGAGCATGAGAAGGGTTTATTTCTAGAGTGCTTAGAAAGAACGTGTTGATTTAGATGTTGTCTGACGCATGTATATTCACATTTTGTGCATGAGTACGGTTTATTTCTTGAGTGCTTAGAAAGAATGTGTTGATTTAGCTTTTGTTTTGTAACGCCTGTATATAGACAGTTTGAGCATGAGAAGGGTTTATTTCTAGAGTGTTTAGAAAGAATGTGTTCATTTAGACGTTGTTTTGTGACGCAAACATATGTGCATTTGCAGCAGGAGAAGGGTTTATTTGTTGAGTGTTTAAAAAGATTGTGTCGATTTAGATCTTGCTGTGTCACGCATGTATATATACATTTTGTGCATGAGTACGGTTTATTTCTAGAGTGCTTAGAAAGAATGTGTCGATTTAAATGTTGTTTTGTCATGCATGTATATATACAGTTGGAGCATGAGAAGGGTTTATTCCTCCTAGAGTGTTTAGAAAGAATGTGTTCATTTAGACGTTGTTGTGTGACGCATGAATATTCACATTTTGAACATGTGTATGGTTTATTTGTTGAGTGTTTATAAAGAACGTGTCGATTTAGTTGTTGTTTCGTCATACATGTATATTCACACTTTGAGCAATGTAATGGTTTCTCTGATAAATGTTTTGAAAGGATATGGTCCCTCAAGCAATGGTCCCTCAAGCAGCGCTTATAAAAACTAAAATATTCACAATGCTCGCACTGAAACTTCCTCTTGTTCGAGTGTTCAATATTCTGCTGAGGCTTCTTATGGAGTTGCTTGGAGCTGGACGGTTTAGAAGGACAGCCACTGCCACCGTCTGCAGCTCCTTCAGTGGTGAACGACTTACCTCTGCTGCACTGTTGACACAGCAACAAGTTATGTCAAAGCAGGTGCTTGTCATCAATGAAAGGATTAGTACAGTGGTACACTAGTGAGTACTTTTGGTCACTTTGTCTGTTTGAGACCAACACTGCTCAGTTCTCCATGATCTAACATGAACCATCCCTCCAATAATAAGGATGTAAACAATTTTGATCTATCGCGTCAATGGAAGCAGGCTTCCAAAAAATAATAAATAAAGAACGAATAATAAATAAATTTGAATAATAATTCAAATGTAACAAAGCAACCTATTTTCAAGAAGATGAGTATAGCATGGACTGGCATTGTCCAACTATTACTGGAAATAATTCTATCCCATTCACCATGGCCATGAATGCCAGTGTAAATAATTTTATAGACTAATCTTTACATTATAAATACCACCAACCTGTTCACCAGTTTCATCCGCCATGATTGAAGAGCGTTGAGCAGCACCAACAGGGCCAGGGGCATCAGCAGCATCCGAGACCTCAGCAGCATCAGTGACCTCAGCAGCATCAGTGACCTCAGCAGCATCAGTGACCTCAGCAGCATCAGAAGAGCCTAGTAATGTAATTCCGGTAATAGCATTTCTTTTTGCGTGTTCAGTCCCACACATTAATAATAGTTCTCCGTTTTAAATGCAGTGAGAGAGCCAAAGTTACAACGAATTAGGTTGGTTTTCAACAGCAAATTAAAGCTGAAAAAGTAGGCAGAAAATATTTCTCAGTCAATTTCACCGGCCTAGAGTTCCCCCACACTAGGAAGCACTCGGAGTTGTGGCAGCAGCTTGCACCCGAGGTATCATTATACATCTCACAAATCTTTGAGACATGAACTCCATTTACAAGGAGCAGAAACTCAAGGTATAAGATAGAACGTAAATTTAGTTACAAAATTTTGTGATAGGGTTATAACGCCATGACTAATAGCGTATGATTCTAAGGTTCATTTGATGGATGCTTAGAAAGAAGGTGTTTATTTAGACGTTGTTTTGTGATGCAAGCAAATTTGCATATGGAGCAGGAGAAGGGTTTACTTGTTGAGTGTTTATGAAGAACGTGTTGATTAAGATTATGTTTTGTCACGCAAATATATCCACATTTTGAGCAAGAGTATGATTTATTTCCAGAGTGCTTATAAAGAATGTGTTTATTTAGATTTTGTTTTGTGATGCAAGCATATGTGCATTTGCAGCAGGAGAAGGGTTTACTTGTTGAGTGTTTATAAAGAACGTGTCGATTAAGATTATGTTTTGTCACGCAAGTATATGCACATTTTGAGCAAGAGTACGGTTTATTTCTAGAATGCTTATAAAGAATGTGTTGATTTAGATGTTCTTGTCTGACGCAAGTATATTTACATTTTGTGCATTTGTACGGTTTATTTCCAGAGTGCTTAGAAAGAATGTGTTTATTTAGATGTTCTTGTCTGACGCAAGTATATTTGCATTTTGTGCATGAGTACGGTTTATTTTGAGAGTGCTTAGAAAGAATGTGTTGATTTAGTTGTTGTTTTTGTACGCATGTATATTCACATTCCAAGCAATGTAAGGGTTTCTCTGATAAATGTATTGCCCGCATATGGTCCCTCAAGCGCCACTTATATAAACTAAAATATTTACAATGCTCGCACTGAAACTTCCTCTTGTTTGAGTGTTCAATATTATTGGAGCAGGACGGTTTAGAAGGACCACCACTGCCACCAGCTGCAGCTCCTCCAGCAGTGAACGACTTACCGCTGCTGCACTGTTGACACAGCAACAAGTTATGTCAAAGCAGGTGCTTGTCACCAATGAAAGGATTAGTACAGTGGTACACTAGTGAGTAATTGTGGTCACTTTGTACCTGTGGTTGTCTGTTGTAGACCAACACTGCTCAGCTCCCCATGATCTAACATGACCCCTCCTTCCAATAATAATGTAACAATTAATTGAAACATAACTTAATAACACAATAATAACAATTTTGATTTATCGCGTTAATGAAAGCCGGCTTCAGAAAAATAATATAATTGAATGCATAATTCAAATGCAACAAATTAACTTATTTTCAAGAAAACAGGTAGAGNCTTCTTCCAATAATAACATAACAATTAATTGGAACATAACATAATAACACAACAATAACAATTTTGATTTATCGCGTTAATGAAAGCCGGCTTCAGAAAAATAATATAAGTGAATGCATAATTCAAATGCAATAAATTAACTTATTTTCAAGAAAACAGGTAGAGCATGGACCGGCTTTGTCCAACTGTTGCTAGAAATAATTCTATCCCATTCACCATGGCCAAGAATGCCAGTGTAAATAATTTTATAGATTAATCTTTACATTATAAATACCACCAACCTGTTCACCAGTTTCATCTGCCATGATTGAAGAGCGTTGAGCAACACTAGCAGGGCCAGGGGCATCAGCAGCTGCAGCAGGGACATCAGCAGCAGGGACTTCAGCAGCAGCAGTAGCAGGGACATCAGCAGCATCAGTGACCTCAGCAGCATCCGAGACCTCAGCAGCAGCAGCAGGGACATCAGCAGCAGCAGGGACATCAGCAGCATCAGAGACAACAGCAGCAGCATCAGGGACCTCAGCAGCATCAGCGGTCTTCATTTGAGCCACACTCAAGCAAGACATGGAAGATGTGGGAGGTGGAACAGACTGGCCACTGCTACCAGGGCTGGCAGGACATGTACCTGCAATAACAAAAAAAATTTGTATGTATTTACTTTATATATTGTCTAAAAAAACTATAATAATTTAAAACATTGAACAATTTTTTTGATTAATAATTAAGGAAGGTGCTCATATGAAATAGAAAAAAATTCAGAGCACACAGAGACATAGGTTACAATTATGAGAAAAACTATCAGATGAACTTGAAAATTTATGAAATTGTAATGCAAATATTGCCGGAAGTGGTTCTCATGGAGTAATAGGTATATAGGAAATAGGAAGTTGTTTACCTGAAAATTAACTTTGCTAATCAATATTTATAGGAGGTCATTAGTTATTTTCTCAGCTTTGAATTATTTTGATGCTTCCTGAACATGCAAGCTTGTTTGCATCAGATGAGTGAAGGAAATCAGCAATTGACAACAAGTATTTCTACTTCAAATGATATTTATTTTCAGAACCGGGAGGAAATTTACCTTGCGTGTCCATATTGAACCCAGGAAAATCATCATTGGAGGTTGGCTCTTCAAAAAGAACCCGTTCTTCTATCTCAATTTTGACCTCCTCCTTGATGCAGTTGAGTGGAACATCAAGAACAGGAGGTAAGGAACATTTGTCCAGGACTGCACAATAAAAGAATTTCTTCAAGAATTAGTGGTGAAGCAATAATTAATTATGGATCTGTGTCATGTGAGACAATGTCAATGTTATTCTTGACTAGTCAATGTCTCATGTCACAACTTTCTTAATCTTAAATGATCATCATGATTTTGTTAACTATATTCAATATCAATAAAATATTTAAAATAACTTGTCTAATTTCCTTTTCAAATCATTTACCCTTGAATCTATAAATGAACAGAGCTAGTAAGCCTTCAGTTTACACATAACAAACTCACCTTCAGACTTCACTGTGACAGGACCAGGAGGTGCTTGGGTGGGGCATTTCTCAGCACACCAACCCCTCCTGACTTCAGCCTCGGATAGTTTATGCAGGACAATACTGCATTTTCTTATATTATTTGCCATGGCCAAATTAGGCTATTGAAGATAATTACTGGTAATATCTCTTAGGTTTGCAAAACAACAGTAATTAAAAAAAAACCAAGCACTGAAATGAATATAAAACTGTTTAGTACATAAATGAGCGCCATAAAAAGAATCCAGAATAAGTTTGCAATGAAAGCAGTTACCTAAGAACTATAAAATTGATGAAATATAAAATGCTAAAAATTTTCACAATAAAAAATGTGAATAAAAAAATCAAATCGGAACATAATATAGCGGCCAAATTTTACCAAATATTGCAGGTAAATTAATAGGTTTCAGTGTTTGTCTTCATAAATTGTACCATCAAACGAGTAATAAGAGACGGGCGGGTTAAATCAGGACCCATGTCCCACATTTTGTAGAAATGTTGTAGCAGCAAAACAAAGCAAAATATTGCAAAACTGAAAATAGTGGTGTTAACTTCAACATTTTTACTATCTATTATGTATGAAGCTAATTAAGAAATTATACATTTACTATCTCTAAAAAATTACTTAAAAAAGTGTGAAAAGTGCGATTTTGGAAAGGTACCTCTACTAAGGTCTGGAGCAAATAAAATATTTGCAGTATTAAAAAATTTTACTTACATAAAAGTTGCACACAGGTGTTGGCTTGAAAGCGCAATTGACGGAATTTGCCTATCTCATCCCAAAAAAATGGCAGCCATTTCCACACAATGGGGTAATAAGGGACACCACCCTGGGGAAATAAGGGACATAGTTAAAAAGGCATTTACAGTTAAACCTCAGTTAGCAAAGGCTCCAGTTAACAAGAAAATAGATTAACAACAAAGAATTTTGATTACATTTACCTCGCTCAGCGAAAAAAATTTCACTTATCAAAAAATTAATGCATCATTGGTAATAACAAAATTGTGCACAGAATGTCATATATAGAATTGTGCACTGGGCATCATAGAATGAAAAGTAATTAACCTAAACTATGATGTATTTCTCCAAAACATATGATGGTTGTTTCTAAAACATTCCTTTCTGTTTCAGGTATGTTTTTTACGATCTTTATATAGTGAATTCACTTAACCCAATTAAAATGGTGTGTAATTACAAGCCATCCTGTAAGCTTACAGTTACAGAAGAAATGCTAAATGGCTGCTGATATGAAGCTTGCAGTGGACAAGGTCGTTGTAAATGCTCAATGGCATGTTTATAGATTTGGTAATATCACATCAATAATATGGTAATGAATGAATATGGTAATATCATATCAATAAAGGATAAACAAGTAAAAAACACAGAAAATGTAATTTATTCTACATCTACATCATCTACAATGAAAGAGGAGAACTTCATAGTACTGTTAGTAATTTATGAGTACACTCTTCATGCTTCAAACATTTCAAATTGAGTTTTATTTCAAGCGTCCCGGATTACCCCGTTCTCAGGAGTAATTTGGGATGGTTTTATTTTGCGTCTGGCACCTTCTGGATAGCATATGGAATTTTTTAAGGTGCTATTTGATGGCCCTCGCAAAGAGCCATAAAATGAGCCTAAACTTGTTTATGAAATGTTTCATGGAAAGAAGTTATTAACAAAAAATGCTCATAACTGTCCCTTATTACCCATTTGACGGTAGTTGAAAATTAGCCAGTTACTCAATAACCTCAATTGAAATGAGGAAATTTTGCAGATATGGGAGTCTATGAGCCCTGGTAAACTGACCTGGAGCATTGGCTTTAGAGGCAATTAATATATTATATTTACCAAAATAATAATATGAAAAATAATATTCATGATGGCAGGAGAGTCCCGCCTTTTGCAGAAAAGTTTTAGTGAAATTAGCCAAACGATTTTAACTATGAAAACTAGGCAGAGGTTCTGAACAAATATGGAATTTGTTGAAGGTCACAGGCATTAATGCATTGCTTTGATGACAAGTATTTTGAATTTTTACAGTGGCCTTTGCTTCAAAAGTAATTGAAAGTTAAAAAATTAGTATTACCTCATTATTATAGATGTTGAGTGAAAATATAATTTCAGATATTTTTTAAAATAGGATAACTATCTCATGCCTGCAGTATATTGAAAAATTTCAAATCATTTCAAATACGGGTACTTAACAACCTTTCATTAGGAAATTTACAATATGCTTCAACTTCAAGCCTAATTAATTTCTATCACCTTCTGGCTACAAGGATTATGAACAAACTGCAAAACCTGAGGAGAAATAAATGACTTTATGCTGCTCAATGGATTGGTAATAAACAGCCATATTATATATTATATCAATTCCAAACATAAAACTTTTTATTGGAATGTTGGAAAACATAAAATTGGCAATTAGATGTAGACATTATCATTTTTAGCCCCATAACTGCACATCTAGTTCCATGATAGATTCTATCCTAAATATGCTTCAACTTAGACAATTCAAAAGCATACATAGTATATTTTATTAAGCAGGTATGCTAGTAATAGAATCTTATTCCCAAAAACTTGATAAACTTCTCTCATAAATGATTATAGTGATAAATTGATAGAAAATAAATTCAAATTACATTGTTCTTCAATAGAAAATCATAATCTAATTTGAAATTGGGTTTCACTTTAAATTTATATACATGTGAACTGTAGCATCTATTTTTTACATGATACTGTTGAGGGAACACTAGAGAAGTCATTCAAATAAGCTACTTAAAACAATGCATATAGTGAATTTGGTAAATAAATGAGTTATTGGATTACATAATCTATCATAAACAGGCATGTGCAATATTCTGTAATGTTTGTGAAAGAAATATATGTATGTTCACATATTGATTAAGAAGTGACTGGCATCACCATGTGATTTCTGAACAAGGTTTTATTAGAAATTGTAATAAATTCCCATTGGGCCAGAAAGACAAGCTATGAATGTTGTATGTGTTTCATTGTGGTATATTAAAACGGTGATGGGTGATTCCGGGTGATGTAAACATATTTTTGTATGATAATTTTTGCATGGGCAGAAATTTAGTTACATTAAATGTTAAGTCTGATACTACATAGTAAATTATATAGTACCTC